ACCTTTACAGCACGCGATGTTGCCCACAGGAAAGCTGCTGCCTGGAGTACGCCTCTACACTCCGTGACCTCGACTTAGCGGCGCTGGCAAAGCCTGACGGCGGCGCTACCGAGGACACCTGGTTGCAACAGATCTGATCGAGTGCTGTATGCCAGCGTATGCAGGCCAAATGTCGGAAGGAGTAGGCAGGGAACCCCATGGCCGTGTCCTAGTACATTTGGGAATTGAGCATCCAGACCTGACCTGCTAACACCCAAGGAGTACGCTCAGAAGCTCTCTGCTGTCTACTCTCGCCTGCTGGTGCAAAGAAGCCAGTTCGAAATAGCACCTTGGCTCCAGCATCGGGTTCTGCATGTCAAGATGCCGTTTCCTGGACGACTTTTGTCCTGTTTGTGCCGAGCCTGGCTCGAGCAGAGCACACGCACACATGCACGCCTCAACATTCAATCCTAGCCTAGCACCTACAGTAATTCGTAACAGCATGTAATATCACAACTGTCTCCCCTCGTGATCCGCAAGCAGCACCGTCAGACGTTGCAAGATGGGTGCTGGCGAAATGTGCCGCAGAACGAGCTTGGCTCAACATTTATTCCAGTTTTGACAGTGATCTTTTTTGTATGGCAGCCGTATATCAGGCTTGCAGTAGGTGTTGCTGTTCGTGTTTTGCGGGGTGGTGGTCAGGAATGGAAGGCTTGCCTGACGCGCCGTCGGCACCGTTGAAGAGAGCTGAAGAGCCTGAAGAGCCTGAAGAGCCTGAAGAGCCTGAAGAGCCTGAAGAGCCTGAAGAGCCTGAAGAGGCTGAAGAGGCTGAAGAGGCTGAGGGTACCTTCTACAGCTACGAGGATGCTCAGAGGATCCTGGCACCACCTTTCAGCGACCAGGAACGGATGGGCTTTTCCGGGTTTTTTTGGGTGAGCATACGTTCTTGTGGCGTTTTTTATGCTTTTTGACTGTTTTTTGTTGTCTTTGAACTTCGAGCTGCTTCGCTTCTTTTGCAAAATGCCCCGTCAGTCAATCAAGAGGCCACCGTGCCGAAGCATTGGCCACAGGGTTTGGAGCTGTGCAATCTGCGACGAGTGCTCTGGCTGCCCCCTGGTTGGGGCCAGGCCTGGAAGCAAGACTCCAAAGGCTTCAGGCGGAAGATGTTTGTGGCGCCAGATACTTTTGGATCCAAAGTCGTTTACTTTAAGTCGCACGTCCAAGACATAACTGGACTTGACCTTCAGCCTGTGGACCACAACGGCCATCCGATTCCAAGCAGATTTCCAGATCATTGGCCAAATTGGCTGCCCCGCGACTGGGAGATCGGGTTTGCCGGCTTCTCGAGCGAGTTCGCGCCATCATTCCGCAGTGCTTCAGGTCAGGTCTTTGGTACTGAGGAGAAAGCCAAACAGCACCTCAAAAAGCTCGGTATCTCTCTGAAACCTGTCCCGGACAAGAAGGCTAAAGCTTCCCCAACGGGTTCTGGCCCGGGCAAGGCAAGGCAGCGGAAGCCGAAGCAGGAACCCGAAGAGCCGGAGCGGAAAAGTCGGCGGCTGCGGAAGCTCACTGCCGAGGAGTGCGTGGTCTGTGAGGAGATTTGGGCTGAGAACAAGTGGAGAACATGCAATTTTCAGTGGTCCCATCATCTCTGTGTAACCTCAACTCGGAGACAGGAGAGCCAAGGCAAAGCCGCCGTAGTTATTTGTCTCGCCCGCGTCTCCTACCCCCAACATCCGCAGAGTATCCCTCAGATTATTCCAGCTTGTTTTTGCAGAGGAGAATAAGAATCGATATAGGGTGGAGTGCCCTCCGCCAGAGAATCCGACAGAGAATGCCCCAGCATCCCTGGAATGCGCACCCCCACAAAAGCCCGCGAAGAAGCCTTCAGAGTATCCTTGCCCTCCCCAGAACATTGACCAGAGAATGCCACAAGTGCCCACTCCAAGATATGCCAAAACCGTCAAATCGCATAGGATGCCCCTGGAGGGCCAATCAGTTTGAAATATTTTGAATATGGTGATGTGCGAGGATGCACGAAGCAAACATAATTTAGTGTTGTTTGTGGGGGAGGACCTCGAGCGGGAACTTCCGAAACCGCCGAAAGAGCTGGAACCTCCTCCGAAGCCGCTCCCTGGCCACCTCCGGCGGCTCCGCAGGGTCCGGGGACTACATGACTACACGGTGACACAGTGACTAAGACTAAGAATCCAAGAAGTGACTGCTGAGTAGTCGGGGGGGGGGGGGGGGGGGGGGGGGGGGGGGGTGGGGGGGGGTAGAGGTGTCAAGTTGTGAATGTCGTGAAAATGTTGTGACTGCTTGCGATTCTCAGCCGGCAATGCTGGCAGGTTGGTGACCGCAAGCGGTTGGAGGTCAAGACTGAGGAAGCGACGGCTCCTCGGCATCTGAGGTAAATTTTGTGGTTTAGGCTTTTGACACACCTAACACATCCAGCAGCTAGCACGTCTACCAGCTAAGGGCAAGGTCAAGAAGGAGGACCCAAGCCCGCCGCCCTTGTACAACATGAACAGCCTTAGCGAAGAGGAGCGCGAATATTTGCATAGGCATCCGCTGTACATAAAGATTCACAAGCGGGGCTACCCGATACCCATCGGTGATTTGGATATCCTTGCGCTGCGCCCCTTCATCCCGCCGCACTTTGGAGGCGCTGGACAGGCACCGTAGCACCCGAAGCCGTGTGCCTCAACAACGGGGCCGCTTCTTTTGAAGCCTCGTGTTGCGGAGAAAAGCTGCACGGAGCCGACACGCGCTGATAGGTACGGGTACTGTTGAGAGCACAGCCCTGTGGGAGTGTCAAAAGCTATGGCTACGGAGCATTTGTGGAGTTGAGGAAAAGTAAAGACCTCGCGGCTGCAGCTTTTAGTATCATTCAGAGCGCATCCTGCAGTTTAAGCCCAGGTTTCAGATGAAATCCGGGCTGAGTGCAGTTCGCGCAAGCAAGTGCCCAGTGAGCTGCAGCTGACGGCAGAGCAGGCGGAGGGACATGAAAGATGGTTGACGTACTTCCCAGAGGCAGTCCAGACACAACCGCCTGGGGGTGAGTTGTCCAACGGTCACCACAAGCAATCGTCCGAACGCGTGGAATGATCCCAACGGTCAAGTGTCAGAGTTTCAGGGAATAAAATGTCAGCTGTCAGGTCCCCTTATTTCGTTTTGCTCCCTGACCAGATCTCCTGGATTTGGCAGCGGCACCTCTTCCAGACACGCCAACAGGCGCAGAGTTCGGCTGTTTGGGTCCAGAAAAGGGATGTTCGAGGCACGAAGTTCAAGGCTCCAATTCTTCATTTGCTTGAAGTTAAAATTGGGGTGCCCCTGTCATGCCCAGTCAGTGAAGCATTTCGCCCATTCGAAACTCACTAGAATCACCTGCAGGCCTAAACCACACTCTCGAGCCCTAGCCAGCCTCTGGAGGTGGGCGAAGTCGCCAAGGCGGGTGGACAGCTTCACACAAATGCGGCACTAATGCGTAGTTCAGCCATAAAGATTACACATGAATGCAGCATCACTTGGAGGTTTGTCGTGTTAGGCCATTCGGCATGGAGACACTTTGGCTGAAATGTACTGTTACTGTAAAATCATGGCCGTGCTGCTGTGTTGAAATTTACAGCCTTGCTGCTGCAAACAGTCGTTCCGTCAAGCTGCGGGGGATTTGCCGGGTGGAGACAGGCATCGGTGCCGGCGGCGAAGACACAAAGCCGGCGGAGTAGGACCGAATTTCGAGGAAATTTGAAGGGCGCGGTGCCCGGGTGTGGGCCAGAATGGCTGGCGAAATGAGCTTGGACAGAGGTTGGCTTTGCCATGGTTAATGCAGGACGACACGAACCCACCAGACATTCCAGTGAATCCGTTGCCACGCAAAATTGAAAGCCTGAGTCTTTGGGATTCTGTCGACCCCGAGAGCAAAGAAAGAACAAGCACAGAAACGAACGTCAGGCGTCGCAAAGCTTGCGACAGCTATACGTCGGAGGCTAGTCCATAGCCATAGTAGTAGATCGTAGATCACTCTAGCATACCCGCCGTACAGTCTAACCCTGTCAGTCACCGTGAAAACACAACAGGGCCCCAAGTCCTTCCACCGTACAATCGGAGCCCACCCAGGGAACCCACTTCGAGAGGCCAGCAGGTGAAGTGGCCACATTTGTGGCACATGCCGCCCTCCATTAGAAGATGAGTTCTTTGGCTCTTGGCTTTAGCTTCGGCTTTAGACTCTGAGTCGAATCCTGCAAGCCTGCAAGGAGCCGGAGAGGCACGGTGCAGCTCTTCCAGGGGCACGTGGCTTCGAGTGAGAGTCCAGTGCCTACGGCAAAGCTCACCGCCTTCTTGTGACTCTGTCCGGTTGCCGGGTATGGAGAGCGCAATGACTGTAGGCAAGGGGGTGGAATGCATAGGGTGTCATTTTGCCCCCGGGCACAGTGTAAGGATGTATGAAGCATGCATCAACGAGCAGACGGTGCAGACCACTCATGTTAAGCGCGTTGCAGTCGGAGACAAGTTTATTTGCGCTCCGTGAGCTCCAACACCTCCAACTGATATCGATCCTATCGAAAGACCGATGGACAAGTGAAGGCACTGTAGACGGCGTGCACGTTTGGAGCTATGGTCTTAGTAGCTAGATGATGCTTGATGTATCTGCTGCTTCAGAGTGCATACTATTCATCGACTGCCACGTTGCTGGAGTGAGGATCTGTCTACTCCTGAGACCCTGTGAATCCCCACTTGGTTCCAGCGAAGGCTCCGGGACCTAGGGCATGATCCGACTTGAGCCGCACCGCTCAGACAAAACGAAGCAATTTGTCAGTGGGACTGCGTGGGACTTGTTGCCGTTTTCTGCAGCCCTGAGGCCCCCGAAGTCATGTAAAAGGTGATGCGCAGAAATGTGCTTTGCGACACGATTCAAGCCTCGGTGAGTTGAACAACAAAGAGCTCGAATGATAAAGCCGTTATCAGATGCATGAAGCCGAGCTCAAGCTTGCCCAGGAAAGCAAGCAAAACATCCTCAGGCCATCAACAAGTGGGACCTCATTCATGAGAACGACCAGCCCAAGTATCGCGAGGATATCCTGAAAAGGCCAAAGCTCGTAGGTCATGTTCTAGCAGGGTGCGAAATCAGGGTGGTGGTTCTTGCAGGCAGCCAGATCACGTGAGAGAACAGAGGAAGTCCTGCTTTGTTGAACGTGAGTCGGCTAAGAACTCGAAGCAACCTGCAACGTGATTCATGGCGGTTCGACCCTGGTGCAGAATCACGGATTGCTTCTCCTCCATCAAGGGGGTTCCTGTCGTGTTCCTTTCGGCCAAGTACAACCTGAACTTGCCGATGCTCATGCACCTCGACTGAGAAGAACAGAGAGGATGCCTTGCTGACACACGCGCTTGCTTCGGCCTGTCACGCTGTCTTCGTGGCAAATGTGGTGGGATTTAAAGCAGAACATCGGGTTGCTGGGAATGAACCGATCACTAGAACAAGTGACCCTTAGTGCCTTGGCGCGACAAGATTTAAAACACCGAGGACCCGCAGCCTGGCTCTCTACAAGAGGTGGAGCGCGCGGCTGCCGACCAGCAGGAGAGACCAGAACCTTTGACCCTGCAACCGAGGGCGGGCTGTGCACTGTTGGGCTTGGATGGGTTCTGTCTACCGAGAGCGCGTGCTACGCCTTGCAGACGCCTGCGCAGGTTGAACAGCTGGCTCCAGGCAATAAGCGTCGATCTGGTTTTAGGGAACACGACTGAATAGAGATTCATGCTTCAGGGCTTGTGTTTGTAGAAAGTTGTATCCCGGTGGAACACACCCGGAATCGCAAGGACAGGCACAGCAAGCTCGTTCATCATTGTCTCAGAACAAACAGTGGACATGCCTTTCTTGATGTTTGGGGCTTGTAGCACAGCTGCTTGAACACGAATTATCCTACATGACTACTCTCATGCAACTGCTGTCTCACCGACAAAAGTCATCCCGAGCTTTGAAAGGCCGGAATCCAAAGTCAGCTCTGGTTTCAGGCCTGGATGCTGCGCTGGCCTCCGCCATGGCGGAACGGACAGAAGCCTGAGCCTCAAACGTACAAGGCATGAGCTGCTTCAGCACTTTGGTCTAATCTGTGTTACTTCGCTCACCAGGGAAGCTACAGTCGCGTGCCCACCCCAACGAATCAACGCTAGCCGCTTACTGATTCGGTGCTTTCTAAACAAGAGGAAGCCAACCAAAGCATTGGTTTACAGCTGCAGGTGGGCACGCAGCCATTTTTGCGCTGAGTTTGATCTGCAGTGGCCCACTCGAACATCATAAGCACTCCTCAGAGTCAGTCAACTCGTAAAAATGCCGCGCACATACATACATACTCATGCCACATGGGCCCATGCAGCAATTTACATACCTCGCTCATACTCTTGGTATACACCTTGATGCACCTTGCTTACGACCTTGCTCACTGCATCCCGCTGCGTGGGAGCAGCGGCCTTGGGACAACGTTCGAAGCATCCGCCAGCTGCTCCATCATGCATGTCTTTGCATGCACAGATAACGCATATACGAGCACCACAACGGCTGCCACAGGATACGCTGCGTGTTTCCGCGTGTTTGCGTGTTTCTGGTTGCCGGTACAAAAAGACACCTCTCCGCCACTCTGACTCCACATACACACCCTTTCTGTGTTCCGTCGCGCATGATCCGCTCCGACAAGTCACCAGCCTTGTTTTGTTGCAAGGTATCAGGGATTGATGTGACCTGGTGCTTCAACCGCACGAGACAGCCTCGTCAGACAAGGGAGTCTTCAACGTCATCCCGGAGGCAGATGTCACGGAGCACCAGCGGGCCATGTTTACGAGGAGCACCTCCCGAACCAGAAAGATGGCCTGTGGAAGGAGGAGATACGACAGGACAGCGGACGGCATAGGTAGCCGGCTTGGCTTACAAGCTTTAGAAATTCCGGGCAGTTTACGGTGGGTCGAATCGTGGGCACCATGGTGGTTTCTTGCTTGGGGCCCTCACCGCTTTCAATGGGCAGAGACGACTTCCTCATGCTTCCCTGCTCATACTTCCCTGCTGTAAACCTGAGCGGGGAGTCGCCGAGGATCTATGTGTAGGGCACAAGCTGCACTTGAAGCAAACCTACAGCTTCAAGGTGCAGCATCAAGTACATGACGCAGACGCGCGCCCGCGCCTCATTTCGGACTTCCTTTTTGAAGTGTTACTCGTGGCCACGTGACTGCGGAAGTCAAGCTTTGAGGCAAGGCCCCCGACTTTCGTTCTTTGGACGAACTCTGCCTATGGCGAGTTCCCAAAGATTCTTGGCCCACACAGTGCATGTTGATTTTCAGTACTTCGTCAAGCTCTGTCGATCTCAGGAATTACATAAGGCAGATGCAGAATGCCATGCGTGACGAGTTCAGAATCAGCCACTCGCACTTATGGACCTCATCTAGGACTGCTAGCCCGTTGCTTCGGTTGTCGAGCTGTTTCGACAAGCATTCGGCGAATGGGTGTAAGGCTTGTGTAAGCTTTGGGGTGCAATGGCGCGACGATTCTGCGCTGATGATTGTAGTTCGGGAGTCTTCCGGGAAAATATGACAGGTGGAAACAGTTCTTGGAAAAGACACAACTAACTTCTCTGATCGCTTCGCTGCAAGCACCAGAGTTCTCCAGGCGGTGTGCCACTTAGTTTCAACATCCGCTCCACGTTGATGCCAAAGCCACGCAAGAAGCTCACCAAGACACTCGGCCAAACCTCGAGTCGCAGACAAGGTTGTGTCCCGGTGATCCAGTACTAGATGTATATAGGGTGCAAAGCATGAAGGCGAGGTCATCTTTGCAGATTGTTTTTCTCAAGTCTTCCCCTTTTATCCTGCCAGAACCCCGCTCGTCTCAGGAAGGACATACTGAAATGGAAGCGTATGGGCCCAAAGCAGGCTCAGCTTGGGAAAGATCCAGTACGAGTTTGAGTGCCCTTGTCGATGCTTCTAAGACTTTGATCACGCTGTGCCGCTGCTGCCGTGGCAAGGCGAAGGTTGCCGAGAATCTCAACTCCAAAAAGCCCGAGGCCCAAGTTGTGGCGGGCGCTTTTCGACTTGCACCACCGCTGTCTACGAGAATACTGCTGCTTGATAGGTTTTGCTCTGTCACTGTGTCTACGAGAAGGTGCTTTATCGATTGACTAGAACCACGCAGTTGTTGCGGAAGCTCGCGCTAGCAGAATCCCAAATAAACGCTGTCAACTTCTTGACCTGGCGCTGCGACGTGCAGCGTCGCCAAGGATGCCGAGGCCTCTGCGACAGATCGATTAAGCAGCGAAAGTAGCCTAGTTGAGCGGGTTGCGACGATGGCTGATGTGATTAGGTGGATTGAGCAGAAGGGCACGTCATCACTGCTTATGATCCCACTCTTGAATCTGATGACTTGTGGCACACGCAAATTTTGGAGTTTTGCCTGGACATTTTTTCGAAATTTAGATACTAGGGTGATATAGATTATTTCAGAGATTATGGAAACATTTTCACTTTTGATATTTCTGTCACATGGTTTGAAGTATTTGAAAAAGTATTGGATTTACTAATCGATATTATTTCGGCGACTTAATGACGTAATATCTGATAATATTGACCCATTCTAGATTTTATATTGTCTCTTATGAGATTTTCTAAAAATAAATATGACGATGATTTTCTTCGTATATTCATATAAATGGAATTTTCTATAATAGAATAATTCTTAAATTATGAATTTGAGTTGTTTAGAATGTATATTTGGTTTCGTGCTCATAATCGTTTCAATATTTATTGAAATATTATATTGGGATCTAAAATATTATTATATAGAGATGGGTTGATTAATTGATATGGATTATAGGTGGCAACTATCTTTTCTCTATTATGAATATTTTCATAGTTAGATGTATTACTTCTCTCTATCTTAATGAAAATATTTGTTTAGGATAAGGATCACTCAAATATTTAATTCAATTTATTCAGAAAATCTAAAATAGAAATTGCTACCCTTATCTTTGTGGATAGATATTTTTTATTTCAGGAATTTGGGAATAGGATATCATTTAAGACATATATTTAAATATTTCAAATTCTTAAATTAGAAATTCTATCGTCCAATATAAGCGACTTATACGTCCAAAAACATTAATCTACTCTATAAAACGCTACGGTCAAACCAGCCCTATGCGGTGCGTCACGCCTCGGATTGCCCCAGCCCCAAAATTTTCCGGAAATTTCTGGACCCCGGCGAGCAAGCCGCTTTGGCCTACCCGGGACCCAAAATTTCCGGGAAATTTTGGGGCTTGGGCTGTGCCCTTTGAAAGGCTGGGCCTCTTCGACGGCCGCAAACCGGATTCGCTCCCCTAAATTTCTGGAAAATTTCTGGTTCCGGGTAGCCCGAAGCCTCGGTCCCTAAATTTCCGGAAAATTTGCTTCATCGCTTTCCTAAATTTTCGAAAATTTACACACCCAAAATTTTCAGGAAATTTAGGAAACGGATGCAGCCTGATCATGTTCAGAAGCCACGGCCCAGCTCCCTAAATTTCCGGAAAATTTAGGATGCTGGGTGGCCGAAAATGTCGAAGCATTGTTGACCGCTTGAACCATTGAGTTCAGGTGTTGATCATTTGCCATGTTGCTGCATGCTTTCATTGTTTTCAATCGTGCTTTGTTTTGTGGCATTACAACGCTAAAATGTTAAACAGGACTTTTACTTCACTTCCAAGATGAGCGCATCACCTGGCATTACCAGGATATTACGAGCGTGCTTTGTTTTATGGCATTACAAAGCGCATTACCTGGCATTACCAGGTCGTCGTCGTCGTCGTGCGGCGTCGTCGTCGTCGTCGTCGTGCGTCGTGCGTCGTCCGTCGTCCGTCGTCCGTCGTCCGTCGTCCGTCGTCCGTCGTGCGTCGTGCGTCGTGGGTCGTGCGTCGTGCGTCGTGCGTCGTTCGTCGTCGTCGTCGTCATCGTCGTCGTCGTCGTGGTCGTCGTCGGGTGTCGTCGTCGTCGTCGTCGGGCGTCGTCGTCGTGTGTCGCGCGTCGCCGTGCGTCTTGCGACGTGCGTCGTGTGTCGTGCGTCGGGCGTCGGGCGTCGGGCGTCGGGCGTCTTTCGTCGGGCGTCGGACGTCGGCGTCGGGTGTCGTCGTCGTCGGGCGTCGTCGTCGTCGTCGTGCGTCGTGTTTCGGGCGTCGCACATCTCGTGTGTCGTGCGTCGTGTGCGGCGTCGTCGTCGTCGTGTGGAGTCGTCGTCGTGACGCGTCGTCGTCGTCGCGCGCGTCGTCGTCGGCGTCGTCGTGCATTGTCGTCGTTTTCTTGCGTCGTACGTCGAACGTCGACTCTATAAAATGATATGGTCAATTTAATCTTATGCGGTACACTACACGTCGGAGTGTTCTAGCCCTAAAATTTTTACGAAATTTCTGGTTCTGGGTAGTCCGAAATTTCGATCTCTAAATTTCTGGAAAATTTGCTTCATTATTTTCTTAAATATTCAGAAAATTTATGCGCCCAAAATTTTCAGGAAATTTACGTTAGCCGCCTATATTATAAATTTCATCTTCGGTGTGAGCGACATCGACGTCCAAAAGCACCAATTATGGATGCTCGAGGATTTCAAAAATGAATAGAATGAAATTTAGGAAATGGATGCCCATCATTCGGCTGAGGAGGGGTTGAGAGGGCTTGATGAACCCTTCTTATCTTGGATGCGCGTGTCTGTGAAACAGAGCGTGTATTATGATCAACTCATCTT